GGTCTTGTCTCTTTATCCAATGTGCCAGTCTGTATCTTTTAACGGGGGCATTTAGCCAATTTACACTTAAGGTTAATATTGTTATGTGTGAATTTGATCCTGTCATTATGATGCTAGCAGGTTATTTCGCCCATTAATTGATGCAGTTTCTTCATAGCATCGATGGTGTTTACAATTTGGCATATTTTTGCAGTGGCTGGTACCAGTTGTTCCTTTCCATGTTTAGTGCTTCCTTCAGCACCTGGTGGTGACAAAATCTCTCAGCATTTGCTTGTCTCTGAAGGATTTTATTTCTCCTTAACCTATGAAGCTTAGTTTGGCTGGATATGAAATTCTGGGTTGAAAATTCTTTTCTTTAAGAATGTTGAATATTGGCTCCCATTCTCTTCTGGCTTCTAGGATTTCTGCAGAGAGATCCACTGTTAGTTTGATAGGCTTCCCTTTGTGGGTAACCCGACCTTTCTCTCTGGCTGCCCTTAACATTTTTTCCTTAATTTCAGCCTTGGTGAATCTGACAATTATGTGGCTTGGGGTTGCTCTTCTCAAGGAGTATCTTTGTGGTGTCCTCTGTATTTCCTAAAGTTGAATGTTGGCCTGCCTTGCTTGTTGGGGAAGTTCTCCTGGATAATATCTTGAAGAGTGTTTTCTAACTTGGTTCCGTTCTCCCCGTCACTTTCAGGTACACCAATCAAACATAGATTTGGTCTTTCACATAGTCCCATATTTCTTGGAGGCTTTGTTAGTTTCTTTTCACTCTTTTTTATTTAATCTTGTCTTCTTGCTTCATTTCATTAATTTGATCTTCAATCACTGATATCCTTTTTTCCACTTGATTGAATTGGCTATTGAAGCTTTTGTATGCTTCATGAAGTTCTCGTACTGCAGTTTTAAGCTCCATCTGGTCATTTAAGTGCTTCTCTACACTGGTTATTCTAGTTAGCCATTTGTCTAACCTTTTTTCAAGGTTTTTAGCTTCCTTGTGATGGGTTAGAACATGCTCCTTTAGCTCAGAGAAGTTTGTTATTACTGACCTTCTGAAGCCTACTTCTTTCAACTCATCAAACTCATTCTACGTCCAGTTTTGTTCCCTTGCTGGTGAGGAGTTGTGTTCCTTTGGAGGAGAAGGGGTGTTCTGATTTTTAGAATTTTCAGCCTTTCTGCTCTGGTTTCTCCCCATCTTTGTGGTTTTATCTACCTTTGGTCTTTGATGTTGGTGACCTACAGATGGAGTTTTGATGTGGATGTCCTTTTTGTTGGTGTTGATGCTATTCCTTTCTGTTTGTTAGTTTTTGTTCTAACAGACAGGCCCCACAGCTGCAGGTCTATTGGATTTTGCCGGAGGTCCTCTCCAGACCCTGTTTGCCTGGATATCACCAGCAGAGGCTGCAGAACAACAAATATTGCTGCCTGATCCTTCCTCTGGAGTCTTCGTCCCAGAGTGGCACCCACCTGTATGAGGAGTCTGTCGGCCCCTACTGGGAGGTGTCTCCCAGTCAGGCTACACGGGGGTCAGGGACCCACTTGAGGAGGCAGTCTGTCCATTATCGGAGCTTGAATGCCATGCTGGGAGAACTACTGCTCTCTTCAGAGCTATCAGGCAGGGACATTTAAGTCTGGAGAAGTTGTCTGCTGCCTTTTGTTCTGCTATGTCCTGCCCCAGAGGTGGTATCTAGAGAGGTAGTAGGCCTTGCTGAGCTGTGGGGGGCTCTGCCCAGTTTGAGCTTCCCTGCCGCTTTGTTTACACTGTGAGCATAGAACCACCTACTCAAGCATCAGCAATAGTGGATGCCCCTCCCCCCACCAAACTCCAGAATCCCAAGTCAATCTCAGACTGCTGCACTAGCAGCAACCAAGGCTCTGTGGCCATGGGACCCACTGAGCCAGGCACAGGAGGGGATCTCCTGGTCTTCTGGTTGTGAAGACCATGGGAAAACCATTTGGGCAGGAGTGTACCACTCCTCCAGGTACAGTTACTCATGGCTTCCCTTGGCTAGGAAAGGGAAATCCCCCGACCACTTTTGCTTCCTGTGTGAGGCGACGCCCTGCCCTACTTTGGCTCACCCTCAGTGGGCTGCACTCACTGCCCAACCAGTCCCAATGAGATGAACCAGGTACCTCAGTTGGAAATGCAGAAATCACCTGTCTTCTGCATCAATCTCGCTGGGAGCTATAGACAGGAGCTGTTCCTATTTGGCCATCTTGGAAGTGACCGATAATGTTCTTTTCTGATTCGGTTTCTGTTTGGTTATTAAATTATGCTAGTTTCACATGAATTGGGAAATTTTTAATCTTTATGTTTATTAATTACAATTTACCAGAATTCTCTATTATTAAAGCTAGCTACAACTCAGGTTTGAAATTACCTGATCCTGAGGCCTCTAACATAATAGTGTGTATTAACTATATATCCCAACGTTTTTGTGGTAAATGATCTCTTAAAGTTTTCTACTACTTGGGTCACTTTTGAAAACTTAAAATTTATAAGAGAATCCTTTGTGTATTATAGGTTTTCACATTTATTGTCAAAGAGTTGCACGTCCATTTTATTATAATATTTTTTATTTTGAGAGCTCGTTTGGAGGTTCGAGCAGGGGAACACAGCTACTCGTATACCCTTGACCGAAGTCCTTCTCTGTCGGGGATGGTCATCATCTTCAACTGAGCATGCAGCTTCAGGAGGGAAGCACATGGAGTGGTGAGGGAGGAATGGGACACCTGCCTAGCCAGCCTGATCAGCAGCCCTGGCAATCAGTGGGTAACAGATGTCCCAGGAAGATCACCCTCACATCCACCTTTTTTATTTTGTATCTGTGATTAGGTCTTTTTGTTCATTCCAAATGTGTAAATTTTTATACTTTTTTCATAATCACACCTGTGATTTACATATTTACTTCATTGATCAAGAAGTAGCTTTTGAATTTAGTTCACCTTTTACTATTATTTTATTTTCTGAATCATTAGTTTCAGCTTTTATCTTTATAACTTTCATTTTTAGCTTATTTCCTTGTTCAAATTTTAATTTTTTAAGAAAAGTACTACCTTTTTTGTAAATGTTTGTTTTCTTACATAGCAGAGAAAATTGCAACTATAAGTTTTTCTTTATCAGTCTTTCATGTCTTACAGTGTAAATGAACTCATTTCATTACTTTCTATTTATAGAAATTTATAATGTAAATTTTGTCACTGCCCCACAGTATTTATCTTCAGACACATAAAGTTATGGTTCTATATTCTCTTCTTGGTTGATCTCACCTACTGCTATGATTTAAGCTACCACTTTTAAGCTGATGGCTTCCAAATTTTCCAGAAGCTGCAGACTCTGATATCTACCTTGTTTCATGTATATAACCAGCTTGATATGCTTAAACTTGTCAACATTTCCCCAAATCAACAAAAACTATATATTTTCCTCAATTATTTGTATCACTATCCACCTAGTCACTCAAGTTAGAAATAGAATTCATCTTTCAACTCTGCCTTGCCCCTCACACCCATATCCTATCAAACACCAAATCCTGATTACTTTACCTTCTGCATAAAGTTTACCTTCATGCGGTCTTCTCTATCTCTGCTGTTGCTGCCCCAGTTTTAACCCTCATCATTTATGGTAGATTATTTCAAAGGTGCACCTTTGATTAAAGACTTTTCCAGCACAAACTCTACATAGCCTACAAGGTTCTTTATATTCCCTGCTGAAAAGAAAAACAACTACCAACATAAATAACAGTGTGAACCATTTAATGAGTTATTCTATTAATGTGCTTTTGTATTTAAAAAGATATGGAAAGCACTGGGTAGAGAAAATGACTAAAATTTATCCTCTATCTACTGTGAGCCTAGTCTTGTGCTACAGTGTTATCATCTTATCTCATTTAATATTATAATATGCTTGAGTTGGGCAATTAGGAATGCTTTCAGCTGCCAAGTATCAGAAAATCTCATTGATGGTAGTGTAAATCACAGAGACAGTTAATTCTCTCATGTCACAGAAGTCCAGAAGTTGGTGTCTCCAGCTCACCCATGCCATTGAAGACTCCCAGACTCTATTTTTCCATTTTGCTGAACTTAACACATTGGCTTTTCAACCTTATGCCTGTTTCTTTGTAGAAGCATGAGGGCTAATGAAGCTCTAGCTTTCACAGGGAAAAGACAAAACAGGTGATGCAGGTGATGCTGGTGTGCTCTCTTTCTGAGCCTGGCCCCTCCACAAGGAAGCAAAAGTTCTTCCAGAAGCCCCCAACAGGTTTCTATTTACATCTAAATGGCTAGACTGGGCCACCTGGCTCCTCCCAGTTGCATGGAAGATGAGAGAGCAAAGACTTAGGGTTTCCAGTCTCTATGATGAATGGCAATCAGGGAGAGGGGGAATGGGAGTAGCTACCAGATGAGCCTAGGATGGAGACTTCATATCTGCAATTGTAGATGAAGTCAAAGATGCCCAAAGGGCTACTGCTGGTAATTGGTGGAACCTGGATTGGGAATTAAGTTCTGTTTCCAAAGTTAATGCTGCCTTCTCTATACCTCTCAGTCTCTCCAAATATTCTTTCTACGAATAGAATTTCAGATATTTAGACATGATTTGAGTGACATTTCTTGTCACCTGCTGGTTTCTCCAAAATCACACAACAATATGTTCTCAGACATTGGATAGAATTATGCTAGAATATTCTAAAGATGAAGCCATATGTAAACTGTGTTCCTTTTGTAAACTGAAACATTAGGGACTATACCAAACTTGTCTTAGATCGGCTTTAAAGTATAGAACTTAAAAAGAAACCACATTCAAAGTATTTAAACTTGTATGGTATGCTTTCTCTGACCTTTAGATCCCCAATTGGGAATCCTTGCCAAATTTAATCTTTTAGTTGTGAATAAGCTTTTGAACACAGTCATCCTGACCTTTGGGCATGTCACCTTGCCTAATGAATAGCTTGTAACTTAATTAATAATGATGGTTAAACCTCCTCTAATAGATTGGAGAAAAATCTTTAAATACTTACTTTAGAGTGGTTCATTTCAACACAGAATTCATAAGGTGGGAAGATCTGCACATGAAACTTTATATCTTATACTCCTTTTCTCTTTGCTTTAATAAATGAGAATCCACAGGGCAAAGGTTCAATGTTTTGCTGCTGAAAAAAGGATTTAAACATTTTACTAGTTACTGTGTCACAATTGTGACCTTACAATGAGAAGATTTTGACTTCAGATCATAAGAAGTGGAGGAAGTACATATATAAACAATAAAAACATAAATGTGTACTAATTCTGACCTCATTGGAAATCATTCTTTCCTAACAGTAATTTTCAGTTCCACCTGCTGAAACTCATTTTCTACAAAAATGAAGTCATAGGCAACTTAATAGTCAAGGTTACAAAAAAAGGGTCTCAAAAACATGTCATTGGTGAACAAATTTTTTTTTTTTTTTTTTGCAAATCTCAAATCTTTTTCTTTTGAAGCTAACCAATCTTGACCATTAAAATGGACTAAAAAGACCTGCATCCACCTTCAAAGACTGGGTAATCAAGGACATTCATGTCACTCTCTTAGCACCATTAGGCTAAAAATTGCTATATTGTTTCTAATAAGTTTTAATGATGTCTTCATTTTTCTTTTAAATGTAGACAGCCAATTTTCCTATGATGGAAGCATATTACTACTGGTGAAGTAAGACATCTTACATGGAAATGTTTGATGTCTTTGAACAAGGGAGAGCCATTTCTTTACACAGTCTTCCCAGAAGCATTTGAAAGACTTGCATTTCTGCTACTACATTTGTTTTCAGATAAGAAAAAATGTTAGCAAAAACAAATGTGTATATTTATAACAATATAGATTAGATGTATAAATGTAATCTTGAGACCCTCTGTAATTTATGTTCAGAGATAAAAGAAATACATCACAGAAGCAAACCCTCAGCATTCTTCAAATTTAGTTTATGCTACAACAAGCATTGCTATAGAAACATTAAATCCCCAACAGAATTCCTGGAAGTTAAAGATGTGCCCGTAGACTTGCTTCCAGATGCTGACTTGCTGGCTTGTTAAATAAAACTTAGCATTTATCGTATGGGAGATTTTATCTCGAAACACACTATGAGGACTACCTGGGACATTGAGTGCAGTGCTCACAATGGGAGAAGAGTTTATATAATAAGAAGGAGTCTCAGGACTTTCTATGTGGTACCTATCAGTCTGATTGTTTTTCCTTTTTCTCCCTCAATATTCCCTCTTTCTCCATCAATATTCCTTATAAATAAGCAGCTCTAAAATAGGAAGCTCCCTAAATGATCAGATGATGGAAAATCACTTTATTAATAAAAATTGTTCATCTGTGTTAAGCAGGTTAAGTCTTTCTGGATACCAGTGAGAGAATCATGTTTTCCTATAGACATTTTGCGGCTTCTCTTTAAGAGCAATTTCCCCCTGGTAATTATACAGCAGTTTGCTCTCAGAAAACAGACTGATTAATGAGGAAGCAGCTAAATGAGTTCTTTAAAAATGTCTAAAAACGTTCTTGCTTCTGCTTTTCTAATCTTCCTCAACCAAATTGACAGCTTTTTAAAAGAATCTCCTTAGTGAATGCATGACAATTACACTGGAACTCAAAGAATTACCACAAGCCTTAGTTTAAGAAGACAGTTTAAATCATAAGAGTATTCATTAAAAGGCCATCTGTCAGATGTTCTCCATGACTGACATCACCCACATCTCTACCTTCTTTTCCTGTTGTTTTAACCTCATCTGACTTTTTTGACTGCTTTGGAAGAAAATCAGCCTATCTTGGCCAGGTGCAGTGGCTAATGCCTGTAATTCCAGCATTTTGGGAGGCCCAGGTGAGAGGATCACTTGAGATCAGGAGTTTGAGGCTGCAGTGAGCTATAGTCAATCCACTGTACTCCTGCCTAGGCAACAGAGTGAGACCCTGTCAGAAAGAAAAGGAAGACAAGAGGAGAGTGGAGGTGAGGGGAGGGAAGGAAGAGGAGAGGGGGAGGGAGGAGGAGGGAGGGAGGAAGGAAGGAAGGGAAGAAGGAAGGAAAAAGAAAGAGAGAGAGAAAGAAGGAAAGAAAGAAAGACAAGAAAGAAAGAAAGAAGAAAAGAAAAGAGGGAGGGAGGAAAGAAGGAAGGAAGGAAGGAAAGAAAGAAAGGAAGAAAGAAAGAAAAGAAAAGAAAGAAAGAAAGAGAGAGGTTGGGTGCGGTGGCTAACGCCTGTAATCCCAGCACTTTGGGAGGCCGAGGCAGGCAGTTCACCTGAGGTCAGGAGTTCAAGACCAGCCTGGCCAACATTGAGAAACCCCTCTCTACCAGAAAATACAAAAACTAGCCAAGCATGGTGGTGGGGACCTGTAGTCCCAGCTACTTGGGAGGCTGAACAGGAGAATCACTTGAACCTGGGAGGTGGAGGTTGCAGTGAGCTGACATGGTACCACTGCACTCCAGGCTGGGTAACAGAGTGAGACTCCAAGAAAGAAAGAAGAAAAGAAGGAAAGAAAGAGAGAGAGAGTGAGAGGAAAGAAGGAAGGAAGGAAGGGAGAGAGATAAAGAGGAAAGCAGGAAAATGAAAGAAAGAAAGAAAAAAGACAGAAAGAAAGAAAGGAAAGAAAAGAAAGGAAAGAAAGAGAAAAACTAGCTTATCTTCATTGGGCCATTAGTCCTCAGGCTGTGAGCTCAGCCTTCCACTGGGATGACTTCCTGCCTTGCCAGCCACTGCTTATTAGTCACATTTCCTTTTTTTTTTTTTTTTTTTTTTTTGAAATGGAGTCTTGCTCTGTCACCCAAGTTGGAGTGCAATGGCACAATCTTGGCTCTCTGCAACATTCACCTCCCGGGTTGAAGTGCTTCTCCCTGCCTCAGCATCCTGAGTAGCTGGGATTGCAGGCGTCCACCACCATGCTCTGCTAATTTTTTTCTTTTTTTTCTTATTTTTGGAGATGGAGTCTTGCTCTGTCGCCCAGGCTGGAGTGCAGTGGCACAATCTTGGCTCACTGCAACCTCTGCCTCCTGGGTTCAAGCGATTCTCCTGCCTCAGCCTCCTGAGTAGCTGGGATTACAGGTGCACACCACCATGCCTGGCTAATTTTTTTTTATTTTAGTAGAGATGGAGTTTCACCATGTTGCCCTGGCTATTTTTTTATTTTAGTAGAAACAGGGTTTCACTGTGTTACGCAGGCTGGTCTCGAACTCCTGAGCTTAGGCAATCTGCCCGCCTTGGCCTCCCAAAGTGCTGGGAGGCATAAGCCACTGTGCCCAGCCAATTTCCAACTTTTAATAAATGTATATAAATATAGTAGAAAGTAATTTCTCTTGTGACCCTTAAAAGGGTGGTTGGGGTAGGGGGAAGCCCACTCCTTAAGTGTGAGCTGTACCTAGTGACTTCCTTCCAAAGAGTACAGTATGGGAAGGAGGAACAAAAGAGTCATTTTACAGTGGAGACAGCTGATAAATATTACCTCAGCCAGGTGATCATGCCCAACATTGGCAGTCATAAATCATATTAATAGTTTGCACGTTTGCTATGATGTGAAGAAAAGACAGGACAATGTGGGAAAGTTTGGAACTTCCTAGAGACTTGTTGAATGGTTTTTACCAAAATGCTGATCATGATATGCACAATGAAGTCCAGGCTGAGGTGGTCTCAGATGGAGATGAGAAACTTATTGGGAACTGGAGTAAAGGTCACTGTTGCTATGCTTTAGCAAAGAGACTGGCAGCATTTTGCCCCTGCCCTAGAGAGCTGTGGAACATTGAACTTGAGAAAGATGATTTAAGGCAGAAGAAATTTCTAAGCAGCAAAGCATTGAAGATGTAATGTGGCTGTTTCTAAAAGTGTACACTTACATGTGTGATGAAAGAGATGCCCTGAAATTGGAATTTATATTTAAAAGGAAAGCAGAGTATAAAAGTTTGGAAAATTTGCAGCCCAACCATGCTGTAGAGAAGAAAAACCCATTTTCTGGGGGAGAAATTCAAGCTGGCTGCAGAAATTTGCATAAGTAATGAGGAAGAAAATGTTAATACCCAAGACAATGGGGAAAATGTCTCCAGGACATTTCAGAAATCTTCATGGCAGCCCCTCCCACCACAGCCCAGAGGCCTAGGAGGAAAAAAATGGTTTTGTGGGCTAGGCCCAGGGCCCTGCTGCTCTGTGCAGCCTTGGGACATGGCACCCTGCATTCCAGTTGCTTCAGCTGCAACCATGGCTAAAAGGAGCCAAGGTACAGTTTGGGCCATTGCTTCAGAGGGTGCAGGCCCCAACTCTTGTTGGCTTCCATGTGGTGTTGGGCCTGTGGATGCACAGAAGGCAAGAGTTGAGGTTTGGGAACCTCCGCCTAGATTTCAGAGGATGTATAGAAATGCCTAGATGTCCAGGCAGACACCTGCTGAAGAGGTGGAGCCCTCATGGAGAACCTCTACTAAGGCAGTACAGAGGGGAAATGTGGGTTCAGAGCCCCCGCACAGAGTCCCCGCTGGGACAATGCCTAGTGGGCCTTTAAGAAAAGGGCCACTATCCTCCAGACCCCAGAATGGTAGATCCACTGTCAGCTTGCACTGTGCACCTGGAAAAGCCACAGGTACTCAATGTCAGCCTGTGAAAGCAGCCACAGGGGCTGTACTCTGCAGAGGCACAGAGGCAAAGCTGCCCAAGGCCTTTGGAGCCCATCTCTTGCATCATTGTTCCCTGAGACATGGAGTGTGAGACATGGAGTCTGTGAGACATGTGTCCTGAAACATGGAGTGTGAGACATGTGAGACATGGAGTCAAAGGAGTTTTTTTGCAACTTGAAGATTTGATGACTGTCCTACTGGGTTTTGAACTTGCATAGGGCCTGTAGCCCCTTTGTTTTTGTCAAATTCTCCCTTTTGCAATAAGAGCATTTACCCAATGCCTTTACCCCCATTGTATCTGGAAGTAACTAACTTGTTTTTGATTTAACAGGCTCATAGGCAGAAGGAACTGGCCTTGTCTCAGATGAGACTTTGGACTTGGACTTTTGAGTTAATGCTGGAATTAATTAAGACTTTGGGGGACTGTTAGAAAGGCATGATGGGTTTTGAAGTGTGAGAAGTGCATGAGATTTGGGAGGGGCAGAATGATATGGTTTGGCTCTGTGTCTTCACCCAACTCTCATGTAGTATTGTAATCCCCTCATGTTGGAGGAGAGGCCTGCTAGAATGTTATTGAATCATAGTGGCATAGTACTTCCCCCTTGCTATTCTTGTGATAGTGAGTGAGTTCTAATGAGATCTGGTTGTTTGAAAGTGTGTGGCACTTCCCCCTTCACTCTTTCTCCCCCTCCTGCTCCACCATGGGAAGATGTGCCTTGCTTCCCCTTCACCTACTGCTATGATTATAAGTTTCCTGATGCCTGCTAGTCATGCTGCCTGTTAAGCCTGCAGAACTGCAAGTCAGTTAAGCCTCTTTTCTTCATAATTTACCCAGTCTCAGGTAGTTCTTTAGAGCAGTGTGAAAACGGACTAATACACTCATCACTGAGTTTCTCCCAAGTATACACATGCTGCATGTGTTAATAAATTTCTGTTTGTTTTTCTCTTACTCATCTGTCTTTTGTTAGTTTAATCTGAAGGGCCTCAGTTGGAGAACCTAGGAGGGTGGAAGTAAAAGATTTTTTCTCCCCTACATGGGAAAGACTGAGGAACATGTGTGGCTAATTAGGTATACAAAGCTTGGTATTTGCTGCCATTGAATTTGGGGGTGAAGGTGGACCCCCAAATGGGAAGGATATAAGGCACAAAGGCCCCACAGGGGAGCTG